GCTACGCAAAACTGGGGGAAATATTACGTCTGTGAAGTCTTGGTTGATTGGATGAGAATGGATTAATCAGGATTCGCAGGACGGGCGGACGAATTTGGATGAGAGGAAGTGAAGGGACAAAAATAACCTTATAAACTAGATAGGGAGAAGACAATGGGTAGTAAGAACCAACGATCTGTCTGGTCTGTCTCTCTCTCTCTGTCTCTCTCTCTCTCTCTCTCTCTCTCTCTCTCTCTCTCTCTCTCTCTCTCTCTCTCTCTCTCTCTCTCTCTCTCTTTCTCTCTTTTTTCTTCTCCCCTCTCCCCCCCCTCTCTCTCTCTTCCTTCCTCCATCCCCTCCTCTCTCTGTGTGCTCGAGGAATGAAAACTGTGTGAAGATAGGAAACAAAAGGAGAAAGGGAGGACTGATTAACAGGTGCATGGTGTAAATAGCAAAAGGGAAAAGACTTATGAAGGGACGAAGCAAAAGACCTGAATTCTTTAGAGCATGGTCTCAAAAAAACAAAAAGGTATGTCAACTAACTTAAGTTCCCCCTGTTAAACCCAACTCCTTGTTATCTGTTTGTTTTCTAGATCAGACCGAACGGATTCACTTTCCATCCTTCACGCAGGTGAGATAACTCGAAAAATTACCTGTGTAGGCCAGCTGCGTGACGGGGCAGCGAGGGTCATCCGGGTCATCGCAGTTTTCCTCGTCGAAAACCATGAATGTCATCGCGAAAGGCTGAGGCGGAGGGTCAAGAGATCCTATGGCGTCCAGAGCCAAGACGTCCAGCTGCCTGAGCTTGTACACCATCGTGTCGTAGTCATCCCAGTAGGACGCTTGGATAGGACACTCCCTCAAGAACGTGTAGAAATATGCGTCGCAGTATTCCCCGAGGACGTTGAAGGCAGCCATGAGGTCCACCCGGTTTTTGAGGTAAAGCTGCACCATGAGCTTGGCAAGAGCCACGTTCTGGTCTACCATGTAGTATAAATAATTTTCCTCCGTTAGGTACGAATCGCTGAGTAACTCGTTTGCTTCAGTCAGGCTCTGCTGACTAGCGGCAACAGCTGCCTTGTCATCTTCCACAACACTTGCTTGCTGGTTGATGGATATGATTAGATTTGCAAACACTGTGATATGCTCGCTGAGTGACTCGCTCTTGACGATGAGATCGAATATAGCCATCTTCAGCTGCCTCACGCCGTCCACTGCGTCGGACAGCTCTTCATCCGCTAAGACAATGCCGCAGGTGTCACGGGCCTCTTGCCACTGCAGTCGTCCTACCGTCTGGTTAGTCACGACTTCTATGATCTCCTCCGTGTCCTTGAAGGTGTCCAGCCACAGTGCCATGTCTGCGCTGGACGGGGGTTCGGGAGGAGCCATAGCCACGATGGCATTCACTTGTGTCATAAGCTCACTTAGAGCTTTAATCATGTTGCCGATTTCACTCTCGTGTCCAGACCAGCTGCTTATAAAGTCCCCCACATTCATAATGGTTTCGGTGACGAACTCGGTCATACTTGTTTTGTTTTTTGAGAGGTCTATATCCCCTTTCACGGTGCTGGTCAGCAAGGAAGCGTAGTCGAGGAAAGTCAAGAAACGTCTGCGCCTCTTGTAGGCCTCCAGGCCCTTCTCGACCCTCTCCTCTGCGGCTGCAACTTCGACCTTGCTCGCCTCTACCTCATTGTGAGTTATCGTGATCGTATTCCACATCACGAAGGTTTGCTGGTACAGGTTATCCAGCTGGTTCTCGTGCGCACCCATGGTAGCCTGCGCCTTATCCACGGCCATTCCCGCGCTAGACTGTATGACTTCCAAGTCTGCCTTCCGCTCGCTGAGTCCGATTTTTGTGTCGAACATCCTCTGGGCATTCACCTCTAACTTCAGTTTTAGTTTATCCATGGCATCCTTGTAGAGTTCCAGGTTCTCGGTCAGATAGCCCACCATATCGGCATAGACTGGAACAGTCAGGTATGGTACTTTCCGCGTAGGTTGGCGCTTTTGCTGCTTCATTTCCATGTCCTGCTTTGCCTTCACAGCCCTCTGGTTGATCGCAACAAGGCTCGGCTCTTGCCAGTCTGTGGTGATGTTGGCCACAAAGTCTATGATGCCCTGCGCGAGCTCCGAGTCGGCAGCTTCCTCACTTTCCACAACAGCATTAGCGCAGTAGAGTGACAGCCACAACTGAGATGCCTTCACCCAGCTCTCAGCCTCGCTCGTCCAGTCTGAGAGTGGTTCGCAGTCGTCCAGAGGGTCAGCATCACCTTGGAGCAGGACGACCGTGACCAGACCATGCTGCAGCTGTTCCACCGTCATGCTGCCAACCCGCCCTCGTGTGTGTAGGGGTGTGTAAAAACTTTTATCAGCTCCGGGTGCGTGGGCTGACAGAGTGGTCGTCACAAGCAGCGGTTTTTCAAGAACTATTCTTCGGGCAATGATTGTGAGAGAGAAAGTAATGGGATCGAGTGGCCCTGTCAGCACCACAGTGTCAGCCCGGAGAGTCACAGACTGCGTTTCACCCGTCGTGTACCTGGGCAGCTCTAGCAGATCGAAAAAGAAGGTTTCAATGACAAGTTCTTTACTATGGCGGGAGTACAGGCGGTAAGTCTCCGTCACGTCCACGCCTTCGGGCAAACACTGGAGAGCCTGCGGGGCCACCCCAGTCAAGGGACCCAACTCTGCCCTGAACGAAATCTCCGTCTCCGCCGAGGTTACAGCCATGGCGGCCTTGCTGAAAGTCAGAGGCTCAGTAAGGATCGAGCAGTCTACTCCTGACATGCCGTAAGGTCGACAAGTCCTCACGACGACGGGGAGGCCGAAGGACTGGCAGGCAGCCGCTTCTTCTTCGGACGATGCCCAAAAGTGTGTGAAGTTGTAAAGGTCCTGACGCAGAACGATCCCGAAGGAGGCTGTGAAGGGGCAGGGCACTGTGTCGAAATCATTAGGGTAGACTAGTACAGTTAAGTTATTGTTTTTGACATTTGGGCTGAATAAGGACAGGGGGAGATCCTTTAAGTTGTTGTTGCCAGCAGAAAATGTTAACAATAGTTCATTGTAAACCAGCAGTTCTTCCGGCAATCTCTTGAGGGCATTGCCCTTCAAATACAGGTTTCTGAGCTCTACAAGTTTTGAAAATGCTCGTGGATGTATGTAATATAAGTCATTCCTCTCCAGATTTATATACTGAAGTGTCTCTTTCACAACTTCGAAATCGGCCTCCAGTATCTCTGTCAAGGTATTATTATACAAATGCACTGCCACTGTCTGAGGGAACGCCGTGAAGCATCCAACAGGAACTTTTCTGAGCTGTAAATTGTTGCAATTCAGGGCAAAAGAACTTGCGTCGTAGATACAAGGACACTCAGAACTTCGAGAGGAAGTTCTGGCATTTAGGGAGACCTGGTTCTCGGCGAATGGGCGGAGCAAAGGTGCGCCATATTCCCCGAGTGCCTCGCCGCTAACGAGGCTGACCACGCCCACCAACACTGCACTCAATATCTGGAGGAGAAGATCCAACTCAGCGAGGGGAAAATGCTATGGCAAAGTGTGCGTATATCAGAAGTCTTAGGGAGATAAGCGAAAGATAATCAGTGGGGGAAAGGGAAAGGAAATAGATAGGACTGAAATTCACTTGTGGGTCTCTTCTGATCAATCCCGTTTACAATTTTTTTTCTCTCTGGAGGGAGATGAAAATAAACAATACTATATCATATCGAACGCAAACTTACACGCCGAAGATCCGATAGAATCGCCCGCGTTTATGTGTGTGTGTGTGTGTGTCTGTGTAGTTGTCCTAAGAATATCATTTATGTTTTCACTGATATAAACCAAAAGTTCTATGAGGATGAGTCAAACTTAAACTTAACCGACAGATGCCCTTAAGTACCGTGGCATCCCCAGCTTCTCCGCCCCCCTCCCCTCCCCTCCCCCCGGCCAACAGGCACTCACCGTAGAGGGAGCCATGGCTGAGCCACCACCCGCGTGCCTGCCCGTGTCTGAATCGCAGCCGAACTGCAGGCCCAGCGCCCTTTATCTGGGCTCCTTGGGAAATCGGACGCTGGCTTGGGAATCCACAGCTGATATTTGTGAGTCTTTTTGTGTGTGTTCTTTTGTTTTCGTGTAGGTGTGTATGTCAGCTGAGGATAATTATTTGCATGTTTCTAATAGTTATTTTCCTTACTTATATATATATATTTTTTTTTAATCGTTATACTATACTTTTTTTTTACCTTGATATCTTGCTAGTATATACTTCCATTACGTTCTTATTAACGTATAGCAGTTGCACAGAAGGCGTGTCCAGTGCCTCAGCGCAGGCCGGAATGGGCGGAGCCAACGCGCGGGAAAGATATAACGCCGCTCCTGAGGCGCTGCGGCCAGTCGGCAAGGAGGAGGCGAGTGGGAGGTATGGCAGTACGTCGTCTGCAACTGGTAGGTCGAGTTTTATGTCTAGGAATGCGATGAATATATATATATATATATATATATATATATATATATATATATATATATATATATATATATATATATGTGTGTGTGTATGTATGTAGCTATGAATGTATACACACACACACACACACACACACACACACATATATATATATATATATATATATATATATATATATATATATATATATATATATATATATATATATATACATACATATGTGTGTATATATAATGTGTTTTTTTCTTAATACATATAGATATATATAAACTCACCCACATGGGTGAGTTTATATTATGCAAAAAAATTGTGTCAGGAAACAAAATTAATTGTTCTCTGCTCAATGACGCCGATATGTATTCCTAAGGAAGCACAGAAGTAATTAAAGGTGATGTATTTCCTGACATATTTAGATACATGCCGCAGGTTTTATCAAAATGAAATGCAGTAAAATTCTCAATTCCCTTTTTCACCATTGATTTTCCGTCATTTTCGACCATACATACTCGACAACGGAGACGTAGACTGCCCAGATCTATGATAAGTATATATATATATATATATATATATATATATATATATATATAGAGAGAGAGAGAGAGAGAGAGAGAGAGAGAGAGAGAGAGAGAGAGAGAGAGAGAGAGAGAGAGAGAGAGAGAGAAAGAGAGAGAGATAGAGAAAGAGAAAGAGAGAGAGAGAGAAAGAGAGAGAGAGAAGGAGAGAGAGAGAGAGAGGAAGAGAGAGAGAGAGAGAGAAAGAAAGAGAGAAAGAGAGGGGAGGGGAGAGAGAGAGAGAGAGAGAGAGAGAGAAAGAAAGAGAGAGAGAGAGAAAAAGAGAGGGGATGGGAGAGAGAGAGAGAAAAAAAATTCAATTCCTTTCCAAGTCCAGCACTATGGATCACGGCGTAATTTTTGTACATTTTGTATTTCGTGACGATAAAGCAGGATAATTTCCAGTTGAACCAAGATCAAACTGGGAATTGAACACACACACACACACACACACACACATATATATATATATATATATATATATATATATATATATATATATATATATATATATATATATATATATATATATATATATATATGTATTTACATATATATATATATATATATATATATATATATATATATATATATATATATATATATATATATATATGTATGTATATATATATATGTCTGTGTTTGTAATAATAATATAACATATGCAGCATGTTTCTCCCGTAGATGCGAGCGTTTCTGCTGGCGTGCCTGGCGGGCACGGCGGCCGCGATCTGCCCCTGCACTTGGGATCCCTCGGCGAGCAGCCTGGACTGCGGGGGCCTCGCCCTCACGGAGGTTCCCACGGCGTGCTTTGACGCGTTTCCGGACGTGAGGACTCTCAACCTCACGAGCAATGAAATAACACAACTTAGACGAGAGGACTTTAGCGGCAATGTCGATAACCTAGAAGTCCTCCTCCTCGACGACAACCCCATCAGCAGGTTCTTTCCTGACGCGTTTGCAGAGCTCACTAATCTGCACGAAGTCAATCTCCAGACCACCGTCTTTGCAGCCATCATTCAGCCAGGCCTCTTCTGGAACAACGCAAAGCTGAATAGGTTTGTCTTGGGAGACGTGATGGTCAGGCTGCCGATGGAACTGTTTAGCCCAAATCTCACTGCCCCTTTGGTATTCGACCTGTCGCGGAATAGCTACCATCAGATCGCTCCCTGCAGATGCCTTGCTGATCTGCCAGAGGGAAGTCAAGTCATTGCAGGAGGGGTGACCTTTTGGGCACAGACGCGGGCTGATGAAGAGATCTGTAAGGGTTTCAATGTGTCTTATGGGCTTACGACCCAGTGTTATCCTTTCACAGACTCGTTTATTGATTGTTCTAACCTTCCGGAGGATATGACGCCAGTTACAGTAGAGTTAGCAATGGCAGAGATAGGAAATAACGACTATTATATTCCGCCATATTTAACTTTCGCCTCAGCTTTCCATGAACTCTTGGGGGAAGTCCCTGGCGATTTCGATTGCCTTCCTGGAGGAGTTGACAAGATCTGGGATTTTCAAGAATATTATCAGAACACGGAACATGTACAGCTAGATACCTTGTATTTCGACCTGTCAAATCTCTATCTGTTCACATCAGAAATAACACAATCTGTAAGTATCAGAGCAGACACTGTGGTACTCACCAGGCAAATCACACCCGTCGAGTATCAGCTAAACATTGCTGCACGTAAGGTAGTTCTTCGGTTTCCGATTCACTCCTATGCAGATACGTCAGTGCACAATCCCTCAACAGACGAAGATTTCTTCACACTCTCGCACGACTTTGGCGATATCAACGGCGTGATCGTCGAAATGTTCCGTCATGGAAACGTGCAGGTCACTCTGCTGGGCTCCGAGACCAAACCTTGCGCGAGTCCACCTGATGTGACTGACATTCTGCCGGAAAGCACGAGCCTCACCCAGCTCGACCTCGCAGTCCAGTGCGGTGTGAGTCTTCTGGACAGGGATGAACAGGCGCTCGCAGCAGCCCTTCATATTTCGTCTTTGGCAGAGAATCTGTCGGCCGCTAGTCCCGCCGGCGGCATGGGACAGGTGAGAAGCAGGGCTGCCAGCGTCAGGACCTTCGCTTCTTCTCGCCTGAGCAAAAGCAACGTCAGTGAACCCCTCCCTGTCCCGTACCTCTCTCTCAGCGTGTATTCCGACATGGTAGATGATCTCGCGTGGAATGTCCAGTTCTATAAAGACACAATTGACAAACTGAGGAATAAATTGGAGCAGCAGAGCGAAGCAATGTTTGACATGAGCATGACATTCGAGGAGCGTCATGCAGACCTGGAATTCGTATATCAGGAGTCCCAGGCAGCCATTACCCAAGCTCAGAGTGTGTTCGGAAGCCAGGAGAGTCACCTCAGCAACCTTCGCTCGCACGCAGATTCGGTCTACGGACTCGTGTTTGATGTCTACGCCCAGTTTTCAGAAGCTGCCACCCGGTACGAAGCAGCGTTTGAGGACTTCAAGGACGGCATCAGAAAGGCGAAGGAAAGCGCGTTTATCCGGGGTTGTCTCGGCATCTTCACGACCATCGGAAAGTGCTACATACAAAAGGAATATCCGAATCCATCCGAGATCGTGAATTCTGTCTACCAAGCAAGTGACTTTGTGGACGAATTCGATGACCTGAAAGACGAAATGGAAGAATCCATGCTGCTGATAAATGACCTCATGAGAGATGTGATGGACATTATATCAAAGTTGGAAACCTTGGACCCTTCTGAGGGCGATGCCGGGACAGACTGGGCCGCTGCCTTCCCTGACACAACACAGCTCCTCAGCGCCGCTCAGAGGCAAGACACTTTCTTTTTGTGACCTCTCCCTCTTCCACATTATTTTTTTGCAGTTATCTTAGCATTTATTTCTGTAATTATGGGCAAATATAATTTTCCGAGGCCAGTCTAAACCACCAAACACGCCCCTCAATTCACGCGTTAATGTCCCGCAGCCAGATGGTGTCGAGAACGCAGTGGGACGTCTCCACCAGAGGGGCCACTATACTGCTCGATGACGCCGATATGAAGCAGGTACAGTGTCCTTACCGAGAGCGTCCTATCCATTGCCCAGCTAAAGTCCTATTATTATTGTTATTACTGTTACCATTGTTATTCTTAATGCCAATATTTCATCATTGTTAATATTTCAATTATTATTCTTACTCTTGTTCTGGTGTCCTAAGCCTCCCACGAGTGACCAGGCATCCCTAACACCATACACAATCCAGTCATCCACATCACCATAAACGAACTTTCCTATCCACCCCATCCACAAGAGACCTTAAATCACATACTTAACTTCACCTCCAACCACGTGCCACTTACGTCACCTGCTGGCCTTTCCCCTGCGCTTACAGGTCTCGGGATCGGGGCAATACAGGGCTTCGGTGCTGGAATTGGCCGAGTGGGGGAAGAGGTTCAGTGAAAAGGTGGTGTCCTTCGCGCAGCTCATCCTCCAGATCAAGGACGAGGAGGAAAATCTGAAGGTTATTATTGCTCCTACTATTATTGTTATTATTATTATCGTTATTATTATTACTATTATTATTATTATTATTATTATCATTATTATTATTATTATCATTATTATTATCATCATTATTATTATTATTATCATTATTATTATTATCATCATCATCAATATCATTATTGTTGTTGTTTTTGTTATTATCATTATCATTGCTATTATTACTATTGTTATTATTATCATCATTATGATTATCAGTATCATCATTATTATCCTTACTGAAAGTGATACCAGTAAGCCTCTCCTTCGGGACAGGTGGCCGCCCTGGGCGTCCAGCAGGCCAGCGAGAAGGCCGACGCCGTCGGCCAGATGATGGCCACGTCCGAGACCAACGAGGCAAACTACCTGTCGGTGCTGAAGCAGCAGAATCAGGTCGTCATGGGTCTGATGCTCGACTTCTACACGCGGGCCCGCGCAGACATGCTGGCCATGGCCCGCGTCCTGGACGAGTTCTGCCAGGCGCACCGCTACAACTTCTTCACCGACTGCGCCCCGTCCAACAAGCCGACGCCGGCGGACGACTACGACGCGATACTGCTGAAGCTGAGCAAGCTCCAGGTCGGCGCCCTCGACTCCCTCTCGAGCCTCACGCCTCCGCCACAGCCCTTCAAGAAGACCTTCGACATCATAGAGAGTCCTTCGTGCGACGGGGCGCTCAGTAACTGCCCCGTGTCCTCCCTCAGGTCCAAGGGCGTCGCCACACTCGTCCTCAGCGACTGGTGGGGGTCTGAGCTAGACTTCTTCGACCGCGTCCGCATCGACACTCTTCAGGTGTTCCTGTCGGGCGCCTCAGTCCCCTTCGACACCAGCGTCATCCTCGAAGTGACTCAACCGGCGGTGTTCAACGACACGTTTACGGGGGCGATCGACACTTTCACTGGCCACGTCACGCGCTGCCTTGTCATGTATCGCCAGGAGATTCCTGACGGAAACATCAACGACGCTACCTTCCTGACGGACTGCTCGACGCACCACAATTACGACAGCTACTACTCGAGGTCAACGCCCAGGGGTCTGTACACCGTCACCGTCGTCAGTCCTGATACAGACGTAACCTTCCTTCAGAAGCTCCAGATCCACGTCGAGGGCTCCTGGATGCCGCACACCAAAGCGTCAGAAGGAGACGACTCTTTCGCCGTTACTACTGAGGGGCACTAGAGGGCTCTTGTGCCGAAACACTGCCAATGTCTGAAATCTAATAAAGCATAAAACTACCCAAAGTCTGACCTTTTTAGAGGAGATATATCACACTGTGAGTAAGTAACACTGTGCCCGGAGTTGCAGCAAGGAGCGGTTCCTGTGCTACACCTGGGTATCTTTGAATTACGGAATGGGTACATCGCTGCTTCACTAGCATCTAGTGTAAGTTTCGCTTAAGAAGCACGAAGTTGGCACTTAAATATCATAGGTTATAAATTATAGAAATTCACATTAGCATTCACAACCAATTTTGAAATAAATAAATAAAAATATACCCGTATCA